TCAAGATGATCAGAACCCTAATGTAAATTTGTCTGTGGTTGAGAAAAAAATGCCTTTTGAGTTATTTATCCAGAAAGAGATGGCTTTGTATTGGATCATCTAACTCTCTTACCTTTTTGTGACCTCACTCTGGTCATAATTATAGGCGCATTCTAAGGGGATGACTCAATAGTGGTGGCTTGCTTACTTGGGACTGATTCTCTGACCTGTCTTTTACAGAGAGAGCCCCTATTGAATGCAGTTAACCAGCCCAGCACATTGACATTGGTTAGTGGAAGGGAAAACATAAAGTTTGAGTAATGTGAAAAGACCATATTAATAGTTTTTAAAGGATATGACAATCAATGAAGGGGTAGCCATTTTAGAAGGTAGGGAAAACAGATAATTAAGTACTGAAAAAAGACTTTAAGCTTTTGACAGTGACTGATGAGCTAAGAAACTGTTTTGATATTTCCCATTATTCATGTCCACAAAGCGATCATTATTTTCCCCTATGTGGAACCTGAGCTGTCCCATAATATAGGCACATACATATGGTAGAATCTCAATAAAGGTCGCTGAACACGTGACTATGTTTATGAAAAAGAATTAACAATCAAAAGAAGAAGGAGAAGGAAAAGAAGAGGCCAAGATTTCCTAATGAGCTGAGTGGAGATGAATGTGTCATGCACTTCTTCAGGGAGACTGTAGTTTAGGGAAAGAAAAATGCAGTAACATGATGAAAGATCAGACCTTCATTGTATATAGAAAACTATCATACTATGCCTCCTCACCATATGCTCATTCCATGCTAAGTTTATATACCAAAGTGAAATAAGAAAGTAAGATGCATGACATTTGGGTTTTTGGAATGAATAATAATAAATAAATGAACAAACAAAATAGAAACAGACTCATAGATACAGAGAATAGATCAATGGTTGCCCAGAGGTAAGGGAGGTGGAAGGTCTAGGTGAAAAAGCTGAAGGAATTAAGAAGTACAAATTAGTAGCTACAAAATGGTCATAAGGACGTAATGTACAGCTTAGGGAATATAATCAATAATATTTTAATAACTATGTATGCTCCCAAGTGGGTACTGGAAATATTGGAAGGATCGCTTTGTAACATTTATGATTATCCAACCACTATCCTGTTCACTGAAATTAATACAAAATGATATTGAATGTACTATAATATATATTAAAGCCTAAGTGACTGTTCAACCATTCAACTGTTGACCAGTAGCTATGACATGCACTCTCCACCATGGGGCAGATGCTCAATGCACAAGCATGGAAACATGGAACAGACTGATGAATCTCAGAGGGAAGGAAAGAGGAGGGAGGGTGGGAAGAGATTAACCAAAAATCTTATATGGCCTGTGGGGATCAGGCCTAACCTCAGATTATGAGATGGTGCAGGCCAGGCTGAGGTACCCCACTGGTGTATGAATCCATGAACCGGGCTGCTAGTTGAAAAATAAAGTTAAAAATAAATAATAAAGAAAGCCTGCATGATAAAAAAATAAATAAATAAATAAATAAATTTCCAAACAACCACATCCAAAGATTAGTCATTTTCAAAGTTCAGTTATTACACACACTTATTTGTCTTATTGTTTTAGAATGCTATTCTGCAAATGTATCAGATCTTTTTAATCTCAGGTCCCTATTTTTGATTTCCTTGCTTATGTAAGAGTTACTCACCCAAAATCTGTTCTGCTGATGGGTTATGAACTTCTCGATTATTTGTTGTTGAAGCTTGCTTTTGATTATGAGAATTCAGGAGTCATGATGTATTGTTGCTATGGTAATGAATATGTATAAATAGATGATTAAGGGTGGGGGGAGGTTAAATCTTGTGACACATTAGCATGTAAATTTCTTTTCAGTGAAATAAAAAAGCCTCAAATGTAAATTTTTCCTGTTACATATACAAAATGCAAAAGATGTTATATCACATCTTGAACCATGCATTGGTATTGTTTATATTAAATAACAGAAGTTAGTCAATATACTCTAAAGAGTATTTTCTTAATAATATTTCATTTAAAATATATTGGATTAAGATTGAGTTAATTTCCATGGATTTATGTGTGTATGTATAAATAAATTATACTTTTAAATAAAAATTGGGACACGTTATAAGGATGAAGATTTCTTGGTTGCCATAAAGGTGGCCTTAAGGACTCAAGGATATAGAAATATTTATAATTGCCAGATAATGTCCTTTATCTTCCAAGCTTCTGTGGTATTGATGTTGGAAGAAGAACATGCACAAGAGGACAGAGGGAAATTGTTTTTGAAGACCTAGTTTAAAATACTCCTACAAATTAAGAACTTGGATTTTTGACATATTAACCTTTTTTTGTTGTTATTGTGGTGTCATAGAATTTTGTACCCAGAATTCATGATTTTTTCATTGGCTGGCCATATACTGACTGTCAAGGCACTTAATGATTCTTTTGGTGTTTTATACTGAGCTTAAGACAAAGATCTTTGCTATCTAATGAGGATTCATTAGACCAGCACTGCCCAATTGAGGTATTATATAAACCACATATATAATTTAAACTTTTCTAATAGACATATTAAAAGTAAAAAGAAATAGGTGAAATTCATTTTAGTAATATACATTATTTAACCCAATATGTTCAAAATATTTTTATTCAACATGTAAAATATATAAATTATTAATGATATATTTTACATTCTAATTTTGTATTGTGCTTTTAAATTACAGCATGTATTTATACTTACAGCACATGTCAGTTTGAACTAACATGTTTCTAGTGCTCACTATCCACATGTGGCTACTGAAGACCACACCGTGTGGTTAGCAGATACCATAGGCACAATGCACCATTAGACTAAGAGGGAAGTGTTGAATTTGCTAAAATATTGAAGTTTTTCAACACCAGAATTCTCTGGATAATAACCTTGTTTTCTTGGAAGACCAGAACTTTTCAACTTGCAGGGATGTTATTATTTTCAAGAGACAAAATAAATATGTGGAGAGTAACTACCTGACATTAGTGTTTATTGATGCCTTATGCCATAAGTTGTGGTCACATTCATTCCCCTTGTTAATCCCTGACATGAGTCTGAGAAAGAGAGGGTGGGGGATGCAGGCTCCATTTACTTTTGAGGAAGCAGGCTCATGGAGGACTCTACCTCCAGCTCTTTGAGCTCCAAACCTCTCCATCCAACCATAGGTTACAATCTGGGGTATAGTTACCAAATAATGAGCAAGCCAAGTCAGACAAAACATGTGTCCTAGCAATTTGTAGCCTTTTTTTCCCCTTAAAGCATCTGTTTTGTGGGTGTCTGAAAGGGCTCAGGCTTGTCCCACATCATTTTTTTTTTTTTATCCCCTGTTTACTTGGATCCAGAATAAAATGAGAGCAAAGTCTCTTAATGCTTAGGAATGTTTTGATTTAGCCAAGGTGGTGGTGGTGGTGGTGGTGGTGGTGGTGGTGGTGGTGGTTGAAATCCTCAGGACTGTCACCATGACTCATCAAAGTCCAACAATTATCCCGCCCCAACACTGTGGGGTCCTTGTATATATACTCCACCATAGGTCTTTCACAGACCTCAGAAAGAGATTATTTCGAGCTGAGCTAGGTGAAGAAGCAAGTAATCTCCCTTACTTTGAAGCAACTCATTTATATGACAATCACTTTTGAAGGTGGCCCGTAACAGTAGAAATAACACCGGCACGGGATTCGTGGCTTTTGGTTGTTGTTGTTGAGGTTAAAATAATACCATTCACGTTAATGTATGTGTAGAGTTGAATTTTTAGGCTAATTTTTATTAATTGGTTATATTGCCTTTGTATTTTCAATCAATCCACATGGAAAGCACACCCATCTATACTAACAAAAGAGTAATATGCTAATTAGACTGGGAGACCTTTTGGGACACCTTCTGGACTTCCTTCCGGACTTCTTTCTGGACAAAGCCATGGTGGTGCCCAGGCAGAGGCAGTTAGGGGCAATCAGGCCAGAAGGGGAGGGCAGTTTGGAGCAAGCAGGCTGGGGGTGGGGGGGAGAGCTCGGACAGTTGTGGTCGGTCAGGCTGCCAGGGGGGGCAGTTGGGGGTGAGAAGGCCGGCAGGCAGGTGAGTGGTTAGAAGCCAGTGGTCCCAGATTGGGAGAAGGTGCAGGCGGGGCTGAGGGACCACCGTCCCCCCAAGCCCCCGCCCCCCAACACACACACGAATTTTGTGCACCGGGCCACTAGTTACATAATAAGCTCTAGGAATTTAAACAGCACTTAAAACAAGTTTCTAATATATTACTTTAAATCATTCTTCTCTTCCCCTTAATCCTTGTGTGTGATGTTCCCCCATTCTCAATTTTTTAATTGCTGAAAACTGTAGCTGCTGGAGATTGGTATTCTATAGAGTGAGTCCTCAACCTCATCACCTGGCGCAGGAGGTCTAGCTTGAGTGTGGTTTTATACAGGGATGGGAGAGTCGCAGGAAATCATCCTACAAGAAATGAAGTTTGTGAAACTAAAGCAAAGGGTGGCCAGGGCAGTGGAACCTTAGGTTATTTCCGGGCCTGAACAGAGAGGGCGCTCTTCCACAGACCTGTGCACAGCCGGACCCGGTGGTGGGACGAGCCCGGCGGGAGTACTCGGGGTGTCTCAGGCTCAGTGTAGCTGGAAACCCCCAAGGTACCGTGCTACCAACGAATGCCCAGAGACCTGGAAGGGTGGGTTTTCTCTAGCGAGCTGCAGAGAGGACCACCAGAAAGCAATCGCTGCAGGGCTTAAGTTTTCCTAAAGTCTCAGCAGGGCTTTCCCTCCTGTCCGGACTCCCTCCTCCAAGTCCAGGGGGCTCCAGGCCACCCCACACTTCCTTGCTCCCCCCTCTCTCCCCCACCAGCTCTGGGCGGCCTCTGCCAGCCAGCCCCGCAGCGCCAGGCCCCAGGCGGCTCCGAGGGCGCAGGGGGCGGAGGCGCGGCGGGGGCGGGCCCGGCACCTCCTCCCCGCACCCCCCCCCCCCCTACTCCCCTCCGCCCGGCCCGGGTCAGTGGCTGGAGCGCCGCGCACCGCCAGCCACGAGGGGCGAGCGATGGGGGCGGCCGCGGAGGGGTGCGCCCTCGCGGAGTAGAGCCAACCGCGCACTTGGGAAGGCGGCGGGGCTGCGCGTCCCTCCGGCGCCCCGGGAACTTCAAAGCGGCGGGCGCTGCCAGGGCGCCAGTCGGCTCCGCCCGGTGGCCATGACCCGCGCGCTGGGCGCCGCGCTCCGCCAGGCTGTGCTGCTGGCCGCGGCCGCCGCGCTCTCCGCAGGTACGGGGGCGCCTCCCCGGGGTCGGGGAGGGTCCGCGGGTAGAAGTGCAAGGTGCTGGGAGCAGACTGACCTTGCACGGGGCGGACTGGGAGGCGCCTGTTGGATCGAAGGGGCGCTGAGTTGGGCGCGGGCACCTGGCGCCTGGCAGGCGTAGGGGCAGACAGGTGTGCTGGGAACGAAGCCACCGGGGGAGGGGGAACGCGACAGGGTCGTGGGGGCTTGGGTAGCGCGTGGGGTGTGTGTGTGTGTGGGGTTTGGGTAGTGCATGAGTTAGGTGACAGGTGGAGGGGCAGTTCGCAGAGGAGGGAGCGTGTGTTTCTGGGTGCGCGCAGCGCTGGGAGTTGAGTGGCACCAGGAGTTCACCCCGCAGGTGCCAGGGGGGCGCTCCGTGCTGAGCTCCCGCAGAGCCGAGCTGGGAGGTGGGGGGCTGCGGAGAGGTGGGGGCGATTCAGACCGAGTTTGAGGAGGCCAGGGACATCTCCAAAGCCGCTGCTGCCAAGCTACGTAGGCGGGAGTGGGAGCTTCAATCTGCGTGGTTTGCAACACACATTGCTTTCGAGGTATGATCTTTACCAAGAGTTATAGGGGAGAAAAAAAAAATCTGGCAAGCGTCCCGGCGTTTATAACAGGTCTGTTTCTTGATAGGCTAAGTAGCCCCAGCTAGAAACCAAACCGTTTCTTTAAAAGGTTTACTAGAAACGGGCACACGCGTCTTTGGTAAAATCGTAGTGTGCTGAGATAAAAAAACGCATTTATAATTCAGAAACTATTTTGGTTATAACATTATCCTGGGTTAAGGAGACTAGGAGCAAAGGATTCCTTGCTAACTCATTCTTGAAACATTTCAATCAGACATTTAAGACATTTGCACATAAACACCTGTTGTGTTTCTGTAGAGCTGCACTTTGCCCGGAGCTGACTTTGATGCATTGTTGTTTTCCCAGATGACAATGTGTTTTGACGTGAATAGCGATGCTCCAGGGTGGGTGGTTTTCCTCTTAGTGACAATTCAGGAGAATGTTGTGAATAGTATGATTGCTGCATGTACAGATGTCAGTGTTTCAGATGGGCTAAGAGAATCACTACATGCATTTAAGTGAGAATTTGATTATTGGGAGGGATGAATTAGGAAAGCAGTTACCCAGAAGTTATCAGGAAAATGATGAGAGAAAGTGGAATATTTTCAATCAGAGGCAGTAAATTCATCAGTAGGAAAAAAAAAAAAAACTGACTGTGGAGTCTTTATAAGAAATGGGTGGGAACTCTGTAACTTGGAAGGAATATTCAAAATACTGATAGAATTTACAAAAAAAAAAATAGTCTTCCAGATATTTTGACTAGACACCTGTGAAATTGCCTCCGCAGGCTGTCCATTCAGCTTTATTTATTTAGGGGAGCTAATAGCTTAGCTGAAGAGATTTAAAAAAGACTCAATTATCTTTTTATGTCGCTTGAAAGGTTTGTTTTATTCTATGACAGAATCTTTTAGAAAATTTCAGAGACCCTGGGTATAGCAGCATGGCAAAACAAGCTCTGTTATGTTCTGGAAAAGGAATGGAAACTTTTGACATTGAAATGTACAAAGTAGAAAGAAAAAATAAAGAATATCCATTCAAATTTGATTGTTTTCTCAAAACCTGAAGGCTAAGAAAAGTGCCTGATGTGGAGATAATGTGTCACTATAGTAGAAAAATGCTTACCAAACTTGAATTTTACAATGAACTTTTTAATTATTTTTAAATCTCTTAAAGAAACTTTATCCTTCATTGTATCCCACAGAAATGTGTACAAATCTTTCATTATTTGGTCAGAGGTTCAAGGTTATTTAATTACTTATTTATTTGTTATTGTTGTTAATCCTCACCCGAGGATATTTTTCCATTGATTTTTAGGGAGAGGGGAAGATCCAGGGAAAGACAGAGAAACATCAATGTGAGAGAAACACATGGATTGGTTGCCTCCTGCAGGAGCCCTCACTAGGGCTTGGGGGGTTGGAGGGGGAGAGGAGCGTGCAATCAAGGTATGTGCCCTAGACTGGAATCAAACCTGGGACCCTTTGGTCCACAGGCCGACACTGCTAGCCTAACCGGCTAGGGCTTATTTATTTATTTAACCTTCTAAGTTGTTTTTCTCATGTGGTTACCTGGTCACCTTTACAAATTACATTGTTAATGGTATTGGCCATTTTTGAAAATGTACAATACATGCCATTATTGGCATGTTATATGAGAAGCTGCTATTGACAAGGTGACATAGCAAAACTGCATGACAGAAAACACCACCTTCCAGTTTGGCTCTGCTGAGCACCAGACGTAGGACCTTAAATATCCAAGGACATTGATAAACCAATAAAACGCTTTTTGCTTTGGCTCTTCTTCGCAGCAGCTCTATCACCTCAGATCTGCCATGCATCAACAGCATAATAGAAACTATTGCTCCTGGATGAGAATCTCAGTGGGTAATCACTGATGAGAATTTAGAGAAAATATTTATTGGTCCGGATTGGCTAAAATCGAGGCTCCTCTGCGTTCCTCTAATTATCTAGTTACTGGGTTTCTTCTGACATGACCTCCCAACAGTTATCCTAGGTACTAAACAAAGAACTGGCAGAAAATGTCTCAAATTAAAGTTGTGCTTTGGATATTACATAGATTCACACATTCTCCACTAATTTTATGGAATTCCTTGGTCTTCTGGTTGGTAAAGGATTACTAAACTGAAAACTGTTCCATTTAATAACCAGGATGGAGGTTGGTCTTTCAGATAGTGAGATTCTTACCACACACACCACCACCACCCCCTACACACCCACACACACACACCCCTCACTACCACCAACAGCTATCCCTTCCCACTATACCCTTTAAGCTTTGCTGGAGGTGAAAGTGAACACCTTGGATTGACTGAGTATATAAATGCTAAAGGTATTGTCACCTTTGCCCTCCTTTAAGCACAATCATTTGTTGGTTGATGGACACAAATGTGGCAAGAGGCTCTCTGTTTCCAAGGAACAAACTTTTCTAGCCCAGAAGAAACTCTGTGCAGAAGTCCTTGGGGGCAGATTTCTTCACTGACGATAATGCTTCAACCCGTTTTCTAGCCTCAGATGTACAAAGTGTAAAACAGAGAGTCCCCTGATTTACTATAATCATAGAATTATGATTTGTGGTATGAGAGGAAGAAAAGATGATACCAAACTTTGACCCAAGCAATGGAAGAATAGACCCTTATGTGGATTGAGGCCTACTGCAAGTGAATCAGGTCTGGAGACAAGAGAACAGTGCAGATTTGAAGCCCAGTTTTGGTTATGTTGCGTTTAAAATGCTTATTAGACATTGAAGTGGAGATATCAAGTAAGTAATTGGTCTTATGCACCTAAAGTTAAGGTTATAAAACTGGTCAGAAGATTAAAAAAAAATGGAGCTAAGGGCACTTATAGATAATTTTAAAAGATACATTAAATAGAATCACAGGTCTAGCAATCACAGAACATTCAGTTAAATTGAATTTTGGATAAACAACAGATAATTTTTGAGTACAAGTATGTTCCAAATGTTACATGGGACATACATATATTTAAAATTAATTGCTGTTTAATTCTGCTTTAATTGGTGTTCTGTACTTTTATATGGCAATCCAACCATAAAGAAATATTGTGGTGAGATGACTAGCTTCTGAGTATAGAGTAGTATAGTCCTATTTTCTAGTCCTTATCTCTTAAAACTTGTGTTCTAGCTCTGCTACTGCCCCATACGCATCTCTGAATGGGTCACTGCCAGCTCTTTGTACTATTCTCCACTGCTTCTGAGTCAGCCTTTCATTATTAGGAAAGGATGAGTGAAAAAGATAAGATTAACTCTCTAGACTCCCTGCAAATGATGGTTAGTGAAAGCAGTTGGTTTTGCCCAAATTTATTGTCTCTTGAGTGTGATTGTTATTTTCAAATGCATTTTTAGAATACTTTCCTTTTGAATAAACATTTATGTTTTTCTTATAGAGGAACTGAGATCCAGTTTGTTGACATTTTTTAGGCAGTGCTTGCATCACTTGCTGTAAATAAGAGAAGGTTAAGAGGAGAGGTGAATGGATAGAATAGGGCTAGGAAGGGCTTGAGCCCCACAGGACCTGATAATCAGACACAGTTCGAGGTTTAAGAGCCTGTTCCTAAGAAAGCGGTTGCAAGCCCTTTGGGAGAGGGGCAGGGACATTTAAATGTCAGCCAGAGGCTGTTGAGCTCCTGCTGTAGCTATGTTTTAAGCTGCTACCAAATGACTTGCATTGGCTTTATTTTGCGATTTGTAGGGGAAAGTGTCCTGTGAATGAATAACTATAGGCCTGGGTCATTACAAATCTCAAGCAGATATGTTTAAATATAAAGGGTTTGTTTTAATAAACATTTAAAATGAGAGCTAATTTTTAAGTACAAATAGAAATAAACGGGGGGGGGGGATTCTAAGCACAAAGAATATACAAGGAATGTGTCATTCCTTATAATTTCTATATGTGAGGTTTCTTCTGGGTTTTCCATTGCTTTGGCCTTCTGTGTCTTAAATTTTTCCCAGCTGATATTCAAAATCTCAAGGTTTCTTCTTACATTGCTTATGAAATTTGAATAATATTAGGATATGTTCATAAATGATATAGAAATGCTACTTTTGCTATGGGACCTAGGAATACCTAAATATGACTTTGGCTCAGTTGTTCCTCACCTCTAGTCTAGAAGAGGTTACTAGGGGATACCTAGAAAAGGGAGTCAAAATAAGGCAAAGTAATTGTTTTGTTACCTGGTATTTTAATCCTAAATTGCATGGCAGAACTCTAATATACTCCCCTTTTATAAACTTTTTCTAATTACTAAATAGCCTAAGGATAGAGAAAGAAAGTGTGTGATAAATCAGAATCTAGAATCCTCACACCGATACAGTAAAAAATCTATGCAGTGCCTGGCAAAAATAAAGCCAGAGTGCCAGAGTACCGAACCTCTGCTTTAATACCTGAC